CAGACTCGAATGAAAAAAAAAAAAATCTAGGTGATTAATTCAGTCTTCACCAAAGAATGTTAATCTTTTTTTTGAAAGAGAAAAAGAGAGATACCAAAGAATGTTAATCAGACTTCACCAAAGAATGTTAATCAGATATGACAACTATTCTATTGTCAAGCCCAATTAGGCCCATTAAAGGCTGACAACAACATAACAGAAAAGTGTATAACACGAGCGAGCGTTGACTCGGACCAGTCCAACTGTCCGTGAGCATAGGTCCCAAGATCTAGTTATGGACTTATGGTGGGGTCCGCCCCCCCAGGTTCTATCTACGCATGCACCCTAAACTCGCTCCAGGTTCCAGTCTTTCAGATGACGCGTCTTACTACGCATTGGGCATGTAACCAACTGATGTTACCAAATATCTCAAAGCGCGCGTAACTCCTTCCCGTTCCTTTTAGCGCCTTTTGACATTTCTCTCTCCTGCTACGAATGTGAACAGTCTCCAAAGAGGAAACTCTTACAGACATTGCGCTTCTCGACCTACTCTGAAATTTCTAGGGTTTTCTATTGCTCTGAACTCTGCAGATACTCCATATTGTAGATTAAGATGAAATGAAGCGCGTAATCGAAGAAATTTCCGACGAGGAGTGGGAGAATTACTCGTTTAAGCCGTCGAGGATCCTCAAAAAGGGGAATTCGCCTCCTCAGATTGAATCGTTTGCTTACCGGACGAAGATAACCTGTGAGGTTGATGATGATAGTAGTAATGGAGTTGTTGAGAGTAAGGAGAATTTGGAGGATGAGGATACAGAGATTAGGGATGTACGACCACTGGCGAACCGGTCGCGGAGATTCGTGGTTGACGAGGACAGTGATGATGAGTTGCGGGAAGTGGTTGATATCCGGTCCACGGAAGAAGAGGAGCAGCCTATTTCAGTCGATGAGGAAGATGTAGTGGAGGAGTTGAGCGAGGAGGATGTGGAGGAGGGGGATGTTGTTGGTAAGGCTCTGCAGAAATGCGCAAAGATATCGGCAGAGCTAAGGAAAGAGCTCTACGGTTCTTCCGTGTCGTCCTGTGATAGATATGCGGAAGTGGAAGCCGCTTCTGTGAGGATTGTGACGCAGGTAACTGTAGCCAGTATTTGAATATGGCATGTTACGTCTTCTTCTTTCTTCTTTCTTTCTTTCTTTCTCATCTTTATAAATGGTATTCAATGTTGTTTGATTAGGATGATATTGATGCGGCTTGTGCTTCGGATGAATCAGATGAGTCGGATTTTCAGCCGGTTCTTAAACCGTATCAGCTTGTTGGTGTCAACTTTCTACTCCTGTTACATAAGAAGAATATTGGGGGAGGTATTATGTTTATTTTCATCTCCCTCTGCACTGCAGAATGACATTTTTAGAAGAAACCAAATGCACATGGTCTTTGTGATTTCTACACTATAGTAGTTAGAATATTATAGTTCATTGCATTTTATGTAATGACCCTTTTATTGGGTCAACACCTATGCGTAGTACTTGTCCCAGTTGTCAAAATCTTACAATTCACCATATAATTTGTGATTTGAATCATGAACACCAAGGGTTTAAATTTGAATCTTACGTCTAAATCCTTTTATGCAAAAATCTTAAAATCTTATTTATTGTTTGAATCCTATAATCTGATTCATGAATCTTACAATTTATAGGATTCATGTGATTTAAATGAGTTCAATAAGACTTTGTCATTTCCTTGTTTCTTTTGATTATCTTTTCAAGAGATTCTTTTTTAGTCCTTGTTAGAAAATGATTTATTTAGATTACCTAAGACATTTTAGAAACCATATTAAGTTTATTTTTCATCATATGTAGGCTAAAGAACCATTGTATGTGGATTAGTTGACTTTCAAGTTGTTTTAATCAAATCATCTTAGGCTATTAGTATTACAAGCTAAATAACAGAAATGATCTTACAATTTACATTACAATTATGGTTTTTCAAAACATTATTGTATATGATGGTCTGCTTTTGCATGTAAAACATGATTAAGTTAATAGTTAAATGTGACAATTTTACTAACCAGTTTACCAATTGCTGAACGTAGCATGCAAAGAGACAGTTAATTGTGCAAGTATGAGTCCTTTTACCTCTGATCAACAATCCTTATGCATCTTATTGGGTTCTTTTGGTGTCTGATATCTTGATTTGTACCACAGTGTCTAGATCATTCTTTTTTTAATTTTGTCTTATTTGCAACATAAAGTTTTGCCTTTATTACTACTGAGCTGGTTGTATTCTGCTGATGCATATAATCTTGAAAGTTTGTCTTGCAATGTTTGTTATATATCTTTGACTTTTCCTGGTTTTTCTGTATTTACTTTCTATACAGCCATCTTGGCAGATGAGATGGGTCTTGGTAAGACTATACAGGTATCAGATTCATACCTTGCTCATGTTAGTGTTAAGTGTGAGTTTTTGTCTTATCAATTTGTTTCAGATTATAACAAGCTTCCTGTTTGACAGGCTATCACATATTTAATGCTGCTCAAGTACTTGGACAATGACCCGGGTCCTCATTTGATTGTCTGCCCTGCTTCTGTTTTGGAGAATTGGGAAAGAGAACTAAAAAGGTGGTGCCCATCTTTTTCTGTACTCCAGTATCATGGTGCTGGACGAGCAGCCTACTCAAGGGAGTTGAGCTCTTTGTCCAAGGCTGGCCTGCCACCTCCATTTAATGTACTGCTAGTGTGTTACTCACTTTTTGAACGACACAGGTTGCATGACAATTTTGGTTTATCTATGATATTGTATTTGGGATTCTTTATCCATTATGAGTACTTTAGTCTCTAAATTCAACTTTTACAGTGTGCAGCAGAAAGATGACCGCAAGATTCTGAAGCGTTGGAGATGGAGCTGCATTCTAATGGATGAGGCTCATGCTCTGAAGGACAAAAACAGCTACAGGTGGAAAAACCTGATGTCAGTTGCACAAAATGCAAACCAGCGCCTGATGCTTACAGGAACACCGCTTCAGAATGATTTACATGTATACAACACAATTACAGCCTTTCTAATTGCTATTAAGAAATCCATGCATGTGCAAATTCTGACTAGTTAGTCATTACTCCAGATTGCTTCATTATGGCAATGCCATATTTGATGAGCAGAAGTGGTTTATATCGGAAAAATGTTATGCTGAAAGTAGAGAAGCTCTAAAGCAACATGATTGTGAAAGTGGAGAATTGTTCTGGGTCTGAGATGAACTATATTGTGAATTGATTTCTAAGATTCTACTGATAAAATATTAAGAGAACATAAAATAGATAAAACAAAAGCACCAAATAATGATAGCAATAATATTTCTTATCGCTGTTGATGGGTACAGTATCTGCTGTATTATCTCTTGAGGCTTGCCTTTATTCCTCTTTCTTTTAGGCCTTCTCTTCCTACCATTAAAGCTGTACTTTGTTCTTTCCTTGGTCTATATTTTCTATCCGCTGCAAAAGAGTTCGTTTTTGTTTGGTAAACCTGCTCAAGAATTCATGAAGATGCATTTACACCTTTTGTGACATTGATATTATTATGCATACTGAATCACAAGTTTATTGCAAAATTATTATATATTATCCATGTTCACTTCACAATATGTATGACATTTGTTCCACTATAAGCACTTTGGCATGGTCTATCAGAACTAAAGAAACATATATGATTTGAATGCAAAAGCAATAACAATTAGAATATTTTATTAATAAAAAAGCAATAATAATTACTGATAAAAAAGAAATCAATAATAATTGGAAGTACTAATGTTTTTTGCTACTTGAAGTCTTAATATTAAGTGATCCAAATCCAATGTATTCTATGATGCTGGGTTGCTGGTAGAAATCTTGTAGCTTCTTGTCATATACTCTGGGTTTGGGCCTTGTCTTGTGGTTAGGTTGGTGCTTTTCTTTTACCTCCTTTCTTTTGGTTTATTTTCAACGTTGTTAGGTTTTTCTTTTGAGTCTGTTTCTGTTCTTTGTTTATTTTTCCACATTTTTACCATTCCTTTCATGAAAATTCTGTTATTAATAAAAATGTAAATATAAGATAACTGATAAAACAAGTAAATGGAAAGTATGGTTTTGAAAGATATGCATTTTACCTCTTGAGCAGATCTTAGGAACCAGAAGCTTTGAATCATGAATCATGAACAATGCAGTTCAGTTCAATTGTACAGAAATCATTTTGTTATTCTGATGCACACCGATTCTTTAAAATGTTTTAAACATTTTCTGATAGAATCTGATCATGGACTGTAGCATCTCAAGATTTGAGTACTTGTTATTAGGGGTGATCATGGGCAGGGCCCAGGCCAGGCTTAGCACCTATGATAATGGTTATAGCCTAGGCCCATGCCGGGTATTGGGCCTATGGCATCAAAAAATGAAAATGTAATTATTTATAAATTTTTAAATTATACGATGTATAATATGTGAAAAAAATATTGCATGGGGCTGTTCAAGTCCAGCAATTGGAAATGCTGAAAAGTTGGCTGGTAATGTAGGAATGGCGCAGGGAGAGAAGAGGATGGAAATGCTAGATTTCGATACCAAAGTTGGCTGTAGGAGAGAAAGATGGAGAATGCAAGTGGGGGAGTTTCAACCAGCGATGAGATGGAAAAGGGAGTTGGAGAAGAGGTTGGAAATGCTAGTTCAACCAAATGTCTAGAGGAGAAAGGAGTATGGAGGCTGAGGTTGGTTCTCACAGCAGTAAGAGATGTTACAGATTGGGGGGAGATCTTGGAGTGCATTTTGAGGAAACTCAGTCTTAAGGTCCCTGCTTTTATTATGCCTTTTGGTGATCGAAAACCAGTCCTGGATGTTGGAGAAGAGGGCCTTGATCTCTCGATTGTTGAGATGGTGGAGACCATGGATGACATGGTGTTGGTCGAAAGCTGGCACATGTCATGCAACTAGATGGATGTTCCCTAAGGGAGCTTCTTACTGAAATTGATAGGGTTCCATTTAATCTCTGGAATGAAAATACTCTGATAGTCTTTCCAACGGGGGTTCCACCAGAAAAGGAAAACAATTCAAAATTTTTTGAACAAAGGGTAGCGAGTATTAAATCATTTGTTGAGACTATGGGGCCACATCAGGCTTTAAATGGGGACCACATAATAAAAAGGAGTAACAAAGGACTCTTAACTCAGAACTTGCTAGGAGAAGGATGAATAAATTAATTGAGCCAGGCAAGGAGTTTGGATGGTTGAGTAAGACTGGAGCATGTGAGGACTTAAGTGGTTAGGTGAGTTGAATTTCAGCAAGTCCAAGAGGGCTGATTGGAGACAATAACTTACGTCCATCATCCTCCCCGACGGGGCAGGTTTTTGTTGCTTGAAGGATGGGTTTTGGGGCGGGGATGGGGGTACAAGTACGCTAAACCCGACCCTCCCCGACCTGCATATTGTTGGAAAGAATATAAACTTTATGTACAAAGTGTTGAATTTAATAATATTTTGAATTTTATGTGAAAGATAATTGATAACTTATGTGTTTTCTACATGTCTAAATCCAATAATTGGAAATTATTTGTTTATTTGTGTTATTTTACTTATTTATTGCTTATATATGACAAGAAATTATAGGAAATTAGATACGGTTTCTAAATCCAAGTTGCCCCTACCCTTGAATGTGGGGAGGGTTTTGCATTTTCATGTGCGGGTAGGGTTTGGATTCTCAAAATCCAACCCGTTACAGGTTTTGGGGCGGGTATGGGTTGGGAGGTTTAGAGAGATGAGTAGGTTTAGAATTTACAAAACCCTCCCCGAACCCGCCCCATTGCCATTCCCTAGTGTTGAACCATTTCTTGACTGGAACTCTACCTTCTTTGTATCTCCCTCATATCTTGTTATTACTCATAACTAGTCGTCACTGCCCTTTTCTGAATTTCTCAACCTTTTAATCGAGCTTTTTAGTCTACCCCTTAATGACATTTTTCCTACTATGCCCCTCTCATTCTTGACCCCCAGTCCAATCGATGCATGGTCGTGTCAAAATTTTCCCTCCTCTTGGACTCTTAAACTGTGGGTCCCACTAGAACCTAAATTGGTCGAGGTCTCTTTTTCCCTCCTCGGTAAACCTTCTTCCTTTTTTATGTCCCATGTTGATTGAGTTTCTCCTCTCCCCTCCAACTCCCCATCCACATGTCCCGTGTTGTTCTAAATTCCTTCTCTTAATTCTTGTGAAATCCCAGAACTACCCCTGTCCCTTCCACTCTACATCTTCGTCAACCTTGGACGATTCTTTGCCTCCTTACCGCTCTCACTGTGGGCTCCGTCTCTGTAATCAGCCCCGTTCTCTGGACTTCCACACTCCTCTCTACTCCCATTATTCTCTTTGGGCGATTCTAGGTAGGTTCCATCTTCTCCTTCCATGATTAATCTGAGGTCGTAGCATTCCCCAGCAAAGACTAACTTCATCCTTTTTGGAACACCTGCGGCCTCCTCCACTTCTACCAAAATGCTGGCCATGCCCAACCTCTCTCAACTTCTGTTTTTGTCATCTATTTTTAGGAACCTCCTGCAACGACTACCTATCTCCTCGAGAGTGACTATACTCTATGCATGAAGGGGTATTCCGACTATGCTTATCCATATCACCCTTCTCCTCTTCCTTTCATTGCACAGAGATTCAGCTGCAGGGAACCACCACCCCAGTTTGAGATTGAAGCTTTTCTCTATCCTTCTCTCCACTTTGAGCACCACTTCAGTCTACTCCCTGTAGTGAAACATGAAGAGGTAAAGCACTAAAGCCCAGCTTGCATCTTTCTAACCCTCATAATCTTATCATGACCCCATTCAAGTCTCGCCCAGGCTTCCACTTTCTCTATATCCATTTCCCACCCAACAAACCTTCCCACCAGGCTGGCATATAACACATCTTGATTCTCTCCTCCATCTTTCCCACCTTCCCGATGTCAACTCTCAACACCACTTCTTTCCTTCTCACAGCTCCTCTCCCATTCCCCGCCACTCTTGACCCCTCTCTCATTCTTTTGGGAGAGAAATAAGTTCACTACTCAGCACTGCACTACACACCACAATTAAACAACTGTTGTTAAGACACTGCTGCTGTCATAGGGTTCAGCACCAAAAAAATCCTACTGTTGTCACACACATTCAGACATAAACTGGGAGAAAAACAGTTCATCCGCATACCTACCAATCAGCACTGCCACATAGTTGAAATCCGGTCCAAAACAGATAGAACACACCATGCTATCAGCTGACTATAGGGTTCTGTTCACACCTGCCCACAACTAGCCCTCTTCGAGTCTTTGATTAGAGGGTCTGAATTAAGAAAGAAAGGGTTCAGCCAGAGGAAAGGAAAAGTCACTTACTCTCAACCGACCCATCTTATATTTATAGTCTTTGCATTAGAATACAAAAGACAACTTTGTCCCTCATTAAGTATGGGACACACAACTTAAAGCCAGACAAAATAGTCAACCCTTTTTTAATTAAAAAGACAAATGACCAAACTACCCTTATATTGCCAATTCTAACACTAACCAAGTTTTTCTTGTAAGCTATGTCGGTTGTGCATGTTACTAATCTTCGAGTCACTCAAGATTTTCTCAGAAAAAGCATCTCAAGTTCCTTCTTCGAACTTGAAAATCCTGTCGTTCTCAGCTTCCTTTTTCACAAGGATGCTCTGTAACTTCTCCACAAACTGCTGCTAATCTTTACCCTGTTTTCCTTCTGGTATGCAAATAAACTGCCTCCTATTATGACTGAATAGCTCAGAGAAGGCCACAAACACAAACCAATCCTTTTGGTTTCTTTTCAGCCTCGCCATGTATTTTCTTCTTGGAAGCTCCAAACTGCTCTTCCAACCTTCTTTCTTCTTGGACCAGAGTGCTCCATCGGATAATCCTTTCAATCACTGGGTTGCATCTCCCATAAGAAAAATGGTTGCCTATCCTTCTCTGACTTTTAGAGAAAGCTGCCCCTTACCTTTTCCTTCTTCCATCAACAACTTCTTCGATTCAATTCTTAGG